GATAAAATAAATACTTCCTCTGTCCTTTTCATGTGGCATCATTTTCTTTTTAGTCTGTCCAAAAAAAAAAGAAGTTACTTTACAATATTAAGAAACAATTTAACTTTAAAATTTCTCTTTTACTCCCAAGGCCTAGCTCGAGTGGCAAAAGGTGGAGGATTTGTGGCTTAGGTCACAGGTTCATGCCCCACACCATGCAAAGCAAAGCCCGGTATTTAAGTGGAGAAGGGTAGAGGGGCGGGCCCATTATCCACCGAGTTTAAAAGGCTGTGATTGGTCCAAAGGGCGGGTCAAAGACGGATTTCTCGGTCATAAAAAAAAAAAAGATTCACAACCACACCTATATCTAACAATTATTTTAGACCATAAGTTTCAATTCTTGTTTCTTAAAGATCGTACCAAGTCAAATGGTGTCACCTAAAATGGATCGAGGGAGTAGTTGAATAAGGATCCAATGCAAGCCTGGTAATTTGACTTTAAAATTTCTCTTTTATCCTTAGTAAAAAATGATTTACAACCATACCTATATCTAACAATTATTTTAGATCAAGTTTCATTTCTTTTTTCTTAAATATAGTATCAAGTCAAATGGTGTAACATAAAATGAAACAGGGAGTAGTTGAATAAGGATCCAATGCAAGCCTACTGGTAATAGTTTCGAGCAAAAGAGAAATACATAATTCCATGAAAGACGTCAAAGGGACAGGGGAGCAATGAGCACTACATTCAGTATTTTCTTCTCCTAAAACCAAATTAAAGTTTAATTTCAAGGAAGGAAACTTAACGCACCTCTTCGTCGTTCCAATTAAACATATCTGTACAACTGACAATGTCTAACTACTCCGAAGAACTCCAAATTTAGCCCAAACATGGCAGATTTTTCTTCACTGGATCAGGTTATACATTTCAACCAAAAAAAAAACAGAGGACTTCGCCGGAGATTCACAGAGGAGATTCGCCGGAGATTCGAAGAAGAAATCTATATATTCACAGAAGACCTATGCCGCAGATTCACATAGTAATTTAGGCTTTTGGGGGGTACAAGACGAGAGAGTAGTTTTGTGTGCGGAGGAAGTTTGTGGTTGTTGTTTCATGAGTAAGGGTGCGCGTGGGACCCAAGTCCACTTGCGGAGAGTGGGTTAATTTGTGTGGACGTAAATTTATACACGTGTAAATAAACGTATCTAAAGTTGTGGCTACTGATTTCGGATCTAATGCTGAATTTCTACTGGTTCACTGAACTTCCATAAATTTATAGGGTTGGTCCTTTGTATATCTTCTATTTTACATTTTTGGCCACAATTACAGGTGTTTAATCAAAATAAAAAAAAATGCATTCAAATCGAAAAACTAAATCAAATCGAATCCACAAAAAGATAGAGATAAGATCAACAAATGAAGCCTATATATAAATACTAGATTCAGAAGTCTATGCTAATGCACACCCAATATATGTTACTTTTTCTTTTAATTTATGTGACTTGAAAAGTCCATTTCAATGCAAAAAAAATGTTCACGATGTTCAGTAGCTTTTCGATGACTTCCCTTGCATTATCAGGAATGAGTCGTTTTGTTGCCGATTTTTAATATGACTTTTAGATATTCGAAGTTGGTACACTTATTGTAATTGTTAATACTATTGTTATTTATATACATTTATGCAATTTTCAAATACGTAAAAGACTAAAAAATTAAGATAAGACAAATTTAAATAAGTAAACCACACAAAAATTACAAAACTACCCTTGAAGTGCCAAAGCAAGCATGTTGATTTGTTGCCGCATGTTTTAACACTAAAAAGTGCCTTCGTAATGACAAGGAAACATGACAATGAACCAAAGAGGTGAAGCACCTCAATAGCTCAACTGTCTCTTCTTATATAAAAAAAACTAGAAAGCAATGGCCCGTGCCAGTACGGGCCCAATATTATTAAGTATTTTTTCTTTTTTTTTGTTAAATTTGTTTTTACGTGAAATTGGAGAAAAGAAATTTGATAGATCTAAGGTGGTGTTTGTTATGTAAAATGTTAATTTTTCTATATTTGATCAGTTAAAATCTTTGCAATATATTTTCTCTAGAATTTTTTTTTTCCTTTTAAAATGAGGAAATGATTTCTATAATAGAAGTATGAAAAAAAAAGTTACACATGATATTCTACATTGATAATGTCTTCCTCCGTTTTCAACCACACCTCATGTTTACCCCATAATATGGAGCTCCCCTCCATCTTCATCTCCACCACCACACACATCCCTACCCTCTACCTTCACCTCTTATAGTATTTGTCTAAATTATATAAAAATGCTTTTAGGATAATAATTTTTGCCAACCTATCAAAAACAAGAAAATAAATAAGAAACATATTTATTTTCCTAGAAATCATTTCTAAAATAATATTTTTAATCTTAACAAACACATCCTAAGTAATTATTAATCATATACTCATAGTATTGCATACTAAAAGTTGAGTACGCTCTCGATCCATGAATAGATGATAATTGTCAAATAATAAATTATTATACTCATGGAAACACTATACCATTAGATACTTAAAGCGACACTTTATACACATATAGAGTATTACTATTATATATTAGCGAAAGATGGTACATTTTTTTCAATAGTCATCAAGGTTCTTATTTTTAGTTTTTTTACCAAAACATATTACGGAATAATTTTATTAATTATATTTTAAAATTT